TAATCCATGCCGTAGATGTAGGTAAAGATTGTTCAGGAGGAGCTGAGATTAGGTTTAGAGTATGAAAGTTTTTGATGAAAGATCTTTGAGTCCCAATAATTTTTTTTTAAACTTTAGTTAATTTTACTTTATAATAAAATTTGCCCCAACTGACAAAACCCTCGGCAATGTCAAGTTAAACCCTAAAAACAATTGCGCCGCCGCATCTCCACAATTATAGCGTGGCGTAGGATGGACAAGCCACAAGTATTTAAACCAACAATTTTTTCACGTTAATTTTTTTTTTTTTTTTACTAGCTATTAATTCTATTTTTTTTTTTATTGCTCTACTTTTTTTAAAAAAAATTTAAAAAACTCAATCCTAACACTATCTAAAAAAATGCCTACTAACAACTTCACCAACAAATTCTTAACCACAAATTCTTGTGCTGTTATTGCTGCTCCTTTTTGTAAGTTTTGTTCTTTTTTACAGTTTCCCTATTGATCGTTCTTTTTTTCTTTTTTATATTTTTTAGCTGGTGGTCAACCAAAGGGTGGTGTGGAATTGTATAAAAATTTTTTTATTTGTAACATTACTAATAATCTATTTAGGGGCCCTCCAAGAATGTTAGAAGCTGGCTTATTGGATATGATCGAAGGTTTGGATTGGAAAGTAGAAATTCAACATAACGATTTTAATGCTCTTGAAAAAGAATGTAAAAAAGTTGTCGACACCCGTCACATTAAAAACGCCAGTTTTGTCTCAAAAACTTGTCAGACCATACATGAACAAATCAAAAAACACGCTGCTTTAGGCCAAGTAAATTCTAAATAAATAAAATTTTTTTTTTTTAATAATAAATAACCTAATAGATGATTTTAACTTTGGGTGGTGACCATTCTCTTGGTATGGCTACTGTTAGTGGAACTGCTGCTGTTCACAAAAATCTTGGCGTCATTTGGGTAGACGCTCACGCTGACATAAACACAGTAGATTCAACTGACACTGGAAACTTACATGGTTGTCCCGTTAGTTTCTTGACTGGGCTAACTGGTCAAGTTGAAGGGTTTGAATGGTTAAAACCCTGTTTAGAAACAAATAAAATTTGTTTTATTGGTTTAAGAGATGTTGATGAACCAGAAAAAAAAATTTTAAAAGAAAATAACATTAAAGCGTTTAGTATGTATCACGTCGATAAATATGGCATCAGTAAAGTTGTTGAAATGTGCCTAGAATACCTTGGAAAAGACACACCAATTCATTTGAGTTTTGATGTTGATGCTTTAGATCCTTCTGTAAGTAAAAAGTTTTTTTTTTTTTTCGATTTAATTTTTTTTTTTTCATCAGGTTGCACCTTCAACAGGAACCCCAGTGAGAGGTGGTTTAAGTTTTAGAGAAGGTCATTATATTTGTGAAGCATTACATGAATCTGGGCAACTTGTGGGAATTGACATTATGGAAGTAAATCCAGCTTTAGCCCTTAGTGATGAACAACAGATCCAAACTATTAATGTTGGTTGTAGCTTAGCTCGTTCTGCTTTAGGTGAAACCCTACTTTAAACTGCGTCCAAACCACCCTATTCTTTTTTTTTTTTTTTTTAAGCAAGTTAATATGTATTTTTGTACTTAAATTATTAGTATATAACACTTTTTAT